AAAAAAAACAGTTCATTTCATAGTGGTGTTGATCTTTTTTAACTCGTGTGGAGTATCCCTACACCTACCCACATGAAAGAATCCTTTAATCTTATCAAACTCCAGTTGACATGCCTCTTCACCCCATCTATTTGATCAGCTTGTTTGCCACCGATTATCGGCGCCTAATCGTAAAGCCGGCCGGTCGATTTAAGTTGTCTGCGAGAAGATTTTCGTACGAGTTCCATACGGTAAACAGTAGTACAGTGAGTGTGAGTCAAAGACATGGCACTTATTTCTCGCTTCAACCAAACCGCTAGGGGTTCAAGTGTGTACTTGGGTGAGTGTGAGTCACTTGAGTACGACACGAGTTGGCACACAGTTGTTGGGGATGACATCGTTCGTCATCCACGCTAAACGAGATCTCCAAACTTTACCGAATGGTTTAGCTATGTGTACATAGGGAAATCAATATGAACAGAAGAGAACCTACAGAGATGGATAGCAGAAAATTGAGAGAGCATTCAATAACCTAAGAGATGCAGTGAAGACAGAAGGCAGACGTCTTCACCCTCATTCTTCTTGATGCCACCTTCTCTCCTGACTATCCTGACTGAAGAACGTCTAGGAAATTGAGGCTGTGCGCACCGGACGCTCGGACGAGTTCGCAATGATCATTCAAAGAACAGTGAATGATTGTAGAAAGATCAATGATGGGATTCCCTTCGTGTATGCAAATGCGAAATGAAATCGAATGCGAAGTTTGCAGTTTTGTGCAGTTTGCGGTTTTTGCAGTGGAAGACCATTGACGATGCCGCATGCCAAAACATCGACGATCAGGTGGCTCTACGCGATTCAGCGATAGCCAGTGGACCAGGGTAGCTACATGCACGATTCTCCGGACCTCATATGGCGACCAGGACGACTGTTAGCTTGGTAGACGCTGTTCGTCACAAAAGCACTGCACAAAAGTGCAAAGGCGGCAACCCTGAAGGCACCCTTCGTTCGCTCGACCAGGACCGTTCTATATTTGTCCAGTTCCCTGAAGCAACCAGGAGGAAAATTCGCTCCCTGCGATTTGATAAAGATTATAGAGGATGATATATGTACAATGTATTGCTCCCTATTATGCATTGAAACCGGTTTTAAAGTTGGGTCATGGCTGTGAGCGGATGTCAGACAATAAGATCAACGTGAGACCGCAATAGGGTGAAACGAAATATTCGGATGTAGAGCGGGTAGGTGAGGCTTCCCAGTTGCTTGGCATTGAAATGGAAGTCTCTGCATCGTCCCAGGTGGATTTTCCAAGGAAGAAAACGTTTTTTGCTGTCAGCTCGGATCCTTGAGAAACCGTAAACAGAGTCGCGTATAAATCTTGAACGTTTCAGAAGAATGTTGCAAAACATTCCGAAGAAGCGTTGAAGATAAACGTGGAGAAACCTCATGTGAGGGCTCAGGAATACTCATATTCAGTTCAACCCACTGGGTCAAAACACGCATCTTCGAATACATTCCCATTTGTAGGGTCGAGGAGAAAAGGGTGAATAAGGTACGACTGAGGCGGTGCAACAACTTGACTAAGTCCTGTTCGGAGTTCAAACCAAAACAGAAACAACAAAGAACCGAACCCAATGGTCGGCTTTATTGTCATCATTTTCTTTAGTTTGTGCAATGCACAAGTTTTTATGCAAACTCCTGTCGTAATGTCGAGATGATGAATACTTAACACACATTAGGTCGATACTGCAAGAAATCGCTGTCCCTGAAAGTCACCCA